TAAATAAATAAAGAAAGAAAGAAAGAAAGAAAGAAAGAAAGAAAGAAAGAAAGAAAGAAATACTAGAAACAGCATACCTACTGTGTCAATATTTAACAGATACTTAGGTTTTGGGTTAAACCTTGTATCTGTTATATAATACCAGTCAATGTTTTTTTTTAAATTTTGATTGACTGTGCCTGGTGTTTTTGAATAATAATAAAATAATAATACTTTAATTAGAAGCAATTTGCCATTGCGACTAACACTAGTGTAAATTTCCATCTGGACGCAGCTGCATATGTTTTGGATTTCTGCTCCCAAGAAAGATTCCTTTTCCTTCCTTTGTTACCGTCAGAGAAAGCCCCCCGTCCACACCCTACTCCGTTATTGCCATGAAATATTCATTTTTGAGGGGCAGAAAATAAAATTCTGGAATGTACCACAGAGGTCTACAAATGCCTTTGCAACACAGACAGTTTTAAAAAAAACCACACACCTTTCTGTTCCCCCCCCCCCATATCCTGCGTTTCAGTTGTATCAGGAAAGCCGACAACCTTCACCGTGGTAGAGACCGATTACATCAGTTTCGCCATCATGGGCACGGAGAGCAAAGACCTACGGGTCCTACATCTTTACAGTACGTGTCAGACGTGACAAGGAAAGGAAAGTTTAGGGGGGGCAGTAAAAGGGGTGGTAATGAGAGGATAAGAACCTTGGCAAGAATGTAATCACACTTCTTTCTTAGCATAAGCCAGTTCTGCTTCCAACTAGGGGCAGATTCTCCAATCTGTTTTTCCCTCCCCTTTCCTTTTTCATAATTGCAACCCCCGTCGATTCGTTTGGGCTGGATCCTGAAGCCCGGGCTCCAGAGATCCCAAAGGACATCAGAGAAAAATTCAAAGAGCTGGTCCGATGCGCGCAATTTCCTACCGACAGCGTTATGTTTCACAACACTGAGGGTAAGAAGCGAGCCTGCTTTGAAGAATTGTATTTCCTGAGTGAAGGAAATCAAGACTGACAGTCAGTATATTTCTCTCCCATTTCTCTGAGAAGGGTTTCTTTTTATCATCTTCAGAAAAAAGACAGCCAAGGATGGCAGCCTAAAATGAGCACGTCGCTGGGAATAAATAAGCCCCACCGAACGCAGCTGGGCTTGCTTACTAAGAGATGCCTACAGTTCCCTTATTAGTGGATGGAATATTTTCCCCAAGATAAATTTCATGGGGATACTCTGTGCCAGCTTACTAGGGATAGTCCAAAATCCGGAAACATTCTTTTGATGGGCTAGAATTCCCAGCTGAGTCAGAGAAGTATGTTGTAGTGACAACAAAAACAACACTTTGCAGGTTCTGAGCAGCCCAATCCCCATTTTTGGTATTTTCTGAAACTTCCAGCTAATGCTCTGCTATTTGAGGAAATCTCCAAATGTCTAAAGGTGATATCTTTCCAAGACCAGAAATAGATGTTATAAATGACTCATCATTAGAAGAGAGAATTTCCTTGCTGTTGAAAGCATCTGAGTGCACAACAAAAGCTTCTCTCGCCTCCTATAATGTGCACATTGTTTTGTTCTATGGCTAGACTCTAGGGCTTAAGCATGGGACTCCTTTGAAGGCTGATTTATCATACACGAAGGTCTGCCTGAACCACCTCTCTCTGACACTTGAATGTATTTATGTATTTCTGGCCTGCGGTGACTTTATTTCTTTCCTTTCACAGGTGAGTGCCCACTGAATTAGAAGTAGCAGAGGGTTCCAACATTTGGAAATACGTTTCTGGTTCTGGAAAATAACAAGGAGAAACAACCCAGCCCTTCTGCACACCTTCATTTGCGACAAAAATAAAGCTGGCAGAAGCAATATGCATACGTCTTTGCATTGTTAGATTGTCTTTATAGCATCCGTAAAAGACCAAGATCACAAAAGCTTGCTTGTTTTATGTATTTGCACAGCTTTAGATGTTGCAATATACGGATTGTATAACGAAAACAAAACGAGAAAAGTACACGTCGGTAATCCTGAAAGATAAAAAGTTTCATTGAACTATGTCCACTTACTATCAAATGTTTTCATTAAAACGTCATCTCTGGGGGCCAAATAGACCACCCTTTTTTCAACATCAAGATTCTCCCTGTTTATTAAATATTCTGCAGATCTGCCCAATACTCCAAGAACCTTTTTTTTTTTTTGAAGAAAGCTGGTTTTAAGGTCCCCTAGCCTAGAAAAAGCCCCGCACACGGGCTGGTTCTCTCTTCGTAAGTCTCTGCGCACGAAGAAAAATAAAGCCAGCAGAGCTACCTGTACAGATTCTGTATTGTTTGGTTTTCTTGATAGCATCCGTAAACGTTCAAAATCAACTTTGCAACTATACAAATAGAACAAAGATCTGTGCGGAATTATCAAGGCTTTCCACCATTTGAAGGAGGTTCGGTCAGTAATAACAATGAAGATAAAGGGGTCTACAAGTGAGTAGGCTCACATACTAAGGGGGACATTTTGATAAATAGAAAGAAGTGTAGTTCAATTTGCGTGCATGGATTTATTTATTTTTATACATCATCTCAAAAGCCAAGGCGCACCAATGAAATCAAAAGTCCCACTTCAAAAAGAACGGGGCCAAAGACGGCTGAAATTTTTACCTATTCTAGAACTAAAGTCGACAATCCACAGCTAAATAAAATAATTAAGGTCTACCTTTCTTTCTCCTATTGTTTCCTTAGATGTCAGCCTGTCATTGAATCTCTTTTATAAATACACAGTGCATCTTTCTTGATCTTGGTTTGCCTTTGGGGGTGGGGTGGGTGGAAACCAGGGAATTGCTGACAAAATAAATATAAAACTCTTGACAAGTATAAAGGAGGAGAACTCATGCAATGGGGCAGATGTAGACAAAGATCTGGATGTCCTGAGTTCAAATCCCACCACGGCCATAAAAAAAATATACTGAGTGATCATAAACTGGAGGAAAAGTGGGAGATACAATAGATTGATAGACTGATTGACTGTTAATTTCATGTCAACAAAGTTCCAAAGGCCGGAGGTTTTCTCCTCTTTTAGGCTGTAACTCTTATTCCGCCCCGATCAGCTTGTTCTTTGAAATAATTTCCCTGTAAAATTTATTGGATCTCACACTGGCGACTGGTCTTTGATATCTGTGCCCCAAATACACCTTTGTGGAGTGCAATGAACTAAATCCAGGAAACCGGATTGGTTCCATCTGTCCATGACGGTGAGAATTCAGTCCGGTCGCTGGTTCCCAAATCTTGACGGGTCTTGACTGTGTGAGCGGCGGCCAAGAATTCGTTCCACCAAGCCTTGACAAATGGCCGTTTTTAATATCTCTTAATAGCATGATGCGATGAAAACAAAACGGAAACTCAGTGAACCAAGGTGAGGATCCGGCCCTCGTGGCTTGCAGTTCTTGGCTGTTTTTAGGACATGGGGAGGGGAACGCCAGGAGCCCAAATACTTTAATAATGGGGGCACACTGCTGACGCACACATCCCCATAGGTCCTGACTTTCAAGGCCTGTGTGTCTTGTCACCCCTGGGGGGCTTTTGATCCCCCTCCGGCAAGCCAACGGGTCTGAAAATCCACTTTCAATGATCACCCACGTCCTTTGCTATGGAGGAGTGTTCAGATCAAGATGAGCCCTCTGTGTGCCAGAGAAATCGTTCTGTTCTTGAGTTTTCCGACTATGCCCGCCGGCGGAATGGCCCCTTCTCAGAACCACCCAATTACACCTCTCCCTGTAATTAGCTTCCCAGCAGGAGGGGCGGCCTTGCTTGGGTGGATTTGGGAGGTGCCATCAAGGGGTTTATAACATGCGGCCCCCACTGCCACCCTCCTTGACCGACCAGTGCAGATGCCCCCCGAAGCCGGCACAGAGATGAAGCTTCTCCTGCTCACCGTTGGCTTGGGGGTCCTCTGTTTCCTCCAGATCATGGCAGAAGTTCCTACACAGCCAGATTTTGACCTCCAAAAGGTAACAGCTGAAAGCTTGCCCAAATTCCCCGAGAGAAATTGAGCGGGGATCCTGATCGAGAAAAGAAGGACACCCCCCCCGCCAATTATCTTTAGCAATGACACGCTTTAAGAGCATTTCCATCCCCAGGTGAATTTCACCCTAACCTATTGGGGACTGGGTAGAGTTTAAAGAAGTTCTTTTGGATTACATATCCCATAATCCCCAGGTATGGTTGGAGAGGTGGGGGATTCCGTGAGAATTGGGCAGGGTCTGGCAGAAGTAGACCATCGGGTCCAAAACGGGGTCTGGACTGTCAACATTTAATGTTTAATGAATGTCCTGAATAACGAACCCACTTCTTTTCTTAGTTTGCTGGGAACTGGTTTCCCATTTCAGCGGTTTCTGATTACGGGCAGGTGAAAGATTACACAACTTACGAAATCCGTTTTGAGCCTGGAGAAAATAAAAAGCTGCTGGGACACATTGAATTTCCCATGTAAGTTCTCTCAAATTTCTGAGAGTAATAATTTTGTATAACAAGACAAAGATCATCCCAATTGAGTCATTGGGTGGGTGATTTTTTGGGGGTATCCCCAAACCGATAAAACTGTATCAGAGCTTGCGGGGTGGGGGGAACCCTTCAGGTTTGTTCAACTACAGCTCCCAGAATTCCCAGCCAGCATGCCCTGAGATTGGCTAGAGAAGGAAGGGATAACGAGGCTTTCAAGTTGCCGTATCGTTTGCGAGAGAGATCAGCGCCGTGCAACCGAAAGACTGTAGAAAGTAAAGAAGTAGGAGGTGAACTTTTCCTTCCTTTTCTTCAAAGCCAGGGAAATAAATTCTAAGAGTTGGTTAAAGGTTTCTGGGGGAGGGTTGTTGTCCAAAAAACCCCATAAAATTTCAAGCCACTGTATTTTGAATTACGCTCATCTGACGAAATGCGCTTCTGGTCTTTGCTGTGCAATGGGTGGTTCACCCCCGGGGATGCTCCGGTGGTAAACTCTGGAACTCTATGACTCAGTATCTTACAATTCCACCAAAACAATCTGACACCAAGCAAGGTGTGTTGCTTCACTGCTCTCTCTGTGGGGTTTTTTGTTTTGGTCTTTCCAGAAAGGATAAGAAGTGTCGGAGAAAAAAGTTTCGTTTGCCGCAGGGTGCCAAGCCCGGGCAGTACATGACCCCTGGTAAGTTCATACCCTCTTCTTTCCCAAAGTTGAGATTTCTAGAGAGGCACCAGGGCTCACCATCATGTCTTTGAAATGCAGAGAAGAAACTCCTTCAGATTGTAGAGACGGATTACAGCACTTACGTTGTCTTCTACCGGGATAACGAGGAATACCGGGTTCTGGAACTTTACGGTACGTTTGGGTCACGGCAGGCCTCGTAAGACGGGGCTACAAGGAGAGGTTCACATCCGTTCCTTGCCCGCATGTGTGATGGTGTGAATAAGAATTTAGGGGTAACAATGCCACCCAGAAACCCCTCTTTGATGGCCATCGGTTGGCGCAGCTTGATAAGAGGGAAGGTGAAGAGTGATTTTTTTCCCCAGCCAATCCAGACCTTTTTGTTATCACTGGTGCCTTTTGTGGATTATCTTATATGGTCATAATTACGACCCTGTTCTTCTTTTGCGGGCCATCAGCCAGGACGCCGGAACCGACAGAGGCAGCAACCGAGAAATTCAAAAGTCGCGTCGCGTCCCTGGGATTCCCCGTGGCGAACATTGCCCGTACAAACTTAGCAGGTGGTAACACTAGCCCGCGGGGATGATTGTAGGAATATGGGCTTGGAAAAGAAAGTTGCGGGGGGGGGGGGAGAGCACCTTTATTTGCTTCGAGAAATCCATTCAGGGATAGAGCAGGGGAAAGGATACCTCGACTTACTTACAAAAAACCCTTCGCATCTCTTATCTCTTGTCCTGGAGATACAGACTTGCCTGACGGGCGAGGGAAGTTACACAAAATCTCGTGAGGTTCTGCTCCCTTGGCTCAGATCCACATCTTGGTGTTAAAACGTCACTTCTTTTCTCCCACAGCTCCGTGTTCAGAACCCAAAATCACCTAAACTCACAGCAACGGGTAGAGATAAAGGGATCATTCACACATTTAGATCCAGTTTGACCTCCTGCCTGTCTGGAAAGGAAATCGGAAGCCTATGGATCTCTCTCTCAGACACACAGAGACAGAATTACTGGTCCATCAACTCCATTGGGCGTGTCATCGTCTGGACTCACCCTAGGAAAGAAACCCCGATCCACCTGTGTACGGAATGTCTTTCAGGATCATTTTTAAAAAATTAAATCATCAATAAAACCATGGAATGAAAGAGTCACTTATCCTCCGAAGGGTGTTCTGAGCCCGTCCTGAAGAACAGCCGCCCAAACATCTTGGGGTGGGGTGGGGGAGTGAAGACAGAGAGCCAGGACTTTTGGAGAGCATGGGGAACACCCTTTTCGAGAGGATGGGGAGTCCTTATCCATCCTCTGACAGGGCTCACCCCCCCCTGCCCCAATTCCTTATTCGAAGGAGCCATGTCTTCTGTCCAGGAGCTCTCCATGGTGCTGATCTGGCAGCCAGAAGGGAAACTGGGCTCTCCCTAAATTTTAGGAGGACAGCTGTCCCGATCCTGGGCAGCTGGCCATGCTAGATGAAGCTTTTGTGGAGAGAAGGCCCAACACATCTTGGGGGGGGGGTGAGGATTGACAAGGAAACCTTTGTTGTGTTGTCCCTGGGGGTGGCAGGCATCGACTGGGATGAAGGGCAGCCTTGTGGAAGGGGGGACTCCATCTGGATTTTGGCTTGAATCACTGCTGGTCAACCCACACATCCACAGCAGGGGTGTGTGTGCATGAAACAGTGGCTGCATGGAACCTCCCTCTCCAGACGCAGTCTACCTTTGTGTGCCCTAGTGATCATGCGGGTCTGATCATTTTGTTTCCCTTCGGTGGCTTTCCAAATTTCTAATTTTTTTTAAAAAATGATATAGGTTTAATTATTATTTTAGCCTGATATTTGCATAGCATTTTTTTAAAAAGTTGTGGGTTCTCTAGTTTTATCTGTTTTATCTGTTCTGAGCCACGTGGGGAGTGGGGAGAAAGGCACCCTATAAATAATATAAATGAAGAAATTAAATAGAGATTGTAGTCCTTTTGGGGCAGAGACCTGCCCTCACACACTTTGCAAGGCCAACCGATGCTCCAGTTTCCCTGACCGATCCCAAGAAAGGGACTGGGTATAAACAGGACGAATCCAGCTCCTCGCCTCGACTTTTGCTAAGAGCGCCTGGAGGCGAGCAGGGCGATGTCCTTACAACATCATAGTATTTTACATTTTTGACACGGTTGGCCTGTTGGGCCATCCTGGCTGCCAGGAACTCACAATGAGGAAATCGCTGGCATTCCGAGTACGAAAGGGGCCCTCGAGATGTTTGTGGACATTCCGTGGCGTCACGGGAGCAAAAACGGCTTGACCTTTCCATTTCAGCTTGGAGATTTTTTGGGGGGGGGAGGCACCCGACGTTTGGTCCATGCTTTATGGAATTGGGGTGGAAATGGACATATTCTCATTCTGTATATCCCATCTGTGACGAACACGGGTTCGAAAACATGGCTTGACCTTTCCATTTCAGCTTGGAGGATTATTTTTGGGGGGGAGGCACCCGATGTTTGGTCCATGCTTTATGGAACGGGGTGGTGGTGGAAATTGACATATTCTCATTCTGTATATCCCATCTACCCCCTTTTTTAAAAATAAGAGTCTGTCGAGGGAAGCTACCAATAGGAAGCACCGAGTCCAAAGGTTGCCTCACCTTTTCCCTTCTTGAAATGTCATGGCTCGAAATCTCCCCAGCTGTTACTTTTCTTTTTCTTTGAGGGAGATAATGGGGTCACCCGCCCGACTCTTTTCTACTTAGCTGCTTTTTCCTTTTAAATCCACATGACTCTCTCTCACACACCCACATATATGTACTGTATGTACTGTATATCAGGGAAAAGGGCTCGATTCACCGGTATGTGTGCCTGTGAACTCTTGATGAGGTGAGGGCAGAAGAGGGAGGCGGTGGCCGTGCGGGGAAATCTGGATCCCTCCCCTGGACCGGCCTTTCGTCAGCCTCCTTCCTCTTCCTGAACGACGTCTCTCAGCTTCTTGCACGCTTGAGCAGAGAGCCAGAAAGGGGCTCTCCTCAAGCGCCACAATGAAGAGGGGTACCAGATCCATCCATCTCTTCCTGCTGGGTCTGATGATGGCTGCTTGTGGGCTGGCCCTTGACACCTGCCCAGGTGAGTGGCCTGCAGATACACCTGGAAAAAGATTGGGGGTGGGAGGGGGAGCCTGCCGGCATAGATTTGAGGACCTCTCCTCTCTGGGGCAGCCGAAGGAAACAGCTGTCATGGCAGAAAGGGAAGCTGGATTAGACTATGCCAAGCAGTGGAGGTGAAAACAGAATAAACACCGCAACGCCTTGAAGACTAGCTTTTATCCTTTTTAATGTGAGCTTCCGTGGACCAGTCCACTTCATCAGACAGATGAGCATGCGAAAGCTCACCTTAAAAAAATATTTTAAGGTCTTTTAAAAAAAACTTTTAATGTTTATTTTGTTTTCACCTACAAAGGAAATACGGCACCTTTTTGAAAACAGGACCATGTTTGAAAACTTTCCTAACCTGGCCCTTTTGCTTTCGTACTGGGCAAAGTTACGGGCATGCCGCGGGGCAGGGCAGTGAGAAGGTTGGATGAGATATCTGGGTTCGAATTCCGACCTGGCCGTGAAAACTTACTGGGTGGCCACAGGTATTTTTTCAGCCTGAGTGAACTGGGAGGGTTGTTGGGGAGGAGAAGGAGCATGGCCTTCAGCTCCTTCGTGCAACCCTGGGATAGAAATGTATCAACTGAGTTTTTAAAATTCTTGGGTAGTGTGTGTGTGATCTCTTGCTCTTTTTTTGTGACCTCATAAGAGCTAGAAACTTGAGAAAGTGAACTGCCGGTCTGAGTGCTGGAAGGAGAGTCGTGATAGGCTCTTCTACACAAAATTGCACCTTTAATGCATGGCAGTCGGCTTGAGGAGAAAGAGTCGCTTCTGGCTTGCAAAACATCCTACGGTCTGTCGGGTCTTTGTTCTCAATCCCAACCATCGCTGTTCCCCTACAGAAGTGCAGCTTGTGGGGGTAGGTGGCAACGAGAAGCTTGCCATCCTGCGAGGATGTCCGGGCAGTCCTGGCCCAACCGGACCCCAGGGGGACCCAGGCGTCCATGGAATGAAAGGTAGGTTCCTGAGAAAGGTGCTCCATTTGGAAGAAGAGGGGGAGTGTGGTGTAGATTGGCCCCAAACCATGCCGTCATGCACAAGCCTTTGGAATGTAATGGTTCAGGAGAGGACAGGAGGATGTTCTCTCTCCTCCCCCAATATTCTGTCTTCCACACAGGAGCACATCAGGGTGTGGTTGGGGACATGATGTCCAAAGAACCAGGAACATCCTAAGACAAGTTTAAATTCCCTAACCAGGCCACGCTCTCCCCCCGTTCATGATCATGGCCCTCTTTCAAGGGAAAACCTTCGCATTTTGAAAAGTTCTACTATAAATCCCCTATAGATTGCTATCAAGCTCAGTTGTTGCTTATCCTGTATGCTGCGTAGGGAACCCCAGTTAGGCGCTGGGTCATGCATTCACCCCACTGACCTTCCCTGGGATCTCTGTCAAAGTGTCCAAATATTGATTTGTGGTTTTTTTTCCCCATTTTTTTTTTCACAACAGGAGAGAAGGGCTCCCCGGGAATCCCAGGAAAAGTTGGACCACCTGGGCCAAAGGGTAATATCCCATAGATGGTGTCTACAGTCAGGGGCCCATGAGGGAAGGGCCCATAGAAAGCAAAGGAGCACGTGGCTGTCGGTTTCCGGACTCCTTCCTTGTGGATATATTTCAATCCCCTCTTCAGCAATATACCAGGGCTTGATTATTCTCTGTTACACAAGAGTACTCAAAACTGGTTTTGTCTTGGAAAGATGACAACAGCAGAAGTTCCTCCCGATAAGGAACGGTGCCGTTCCACCCATTGTGAAATGCCGAGCCAACTCCACTTCCTTTAATGTGGCTTCTTTCCACATTCCTCGGGTTTTCTCCACAAACCTCCGTTGGCCTTTGGTCTAAAGGATCGGAAAAAGTCTGTGGCCAGCAGTTCCGGCACTTCTGCTTTTCACGGACAGCAACCACACCCGGGGAGGGGGAGCAAAAGGGTTGAATTTTGGACATTGGTCCCGCAAGGAGAGAGTTTTAACCCCCCTCTGTCCTCCCCAGAGGATGCTTGACCTCCCAGGTTAAAAGGCTCTGCTTAGCAGAGAGCCTACGGGATTTAGTGGATAGAGGGTATGCCCAGGAGGCAGGAATCACAACCACAACATTATTGGAAAAGCCAGCTAATGCTCTCCCCTCTCTCTGTCCACCAGGAGATCCTGGAATCGCAGGTACACCTGGAGCCAAAGGTAAAAAGATGCCAGCCATGCAAGCTTTGGGCTAATATGGGGTTCCCCTATTTTGAGGACAGATGGGAGCCCGAATCTTGTTTGGGAAGGACACGAACGCTCAGCAGCAAAATCATTCGTGGTTCAATTTACACGCCTCGTATTTTCCCAGCTAGGGAGGAATTGGGGAGGGGGTGGGTTGAGGGCTTTGCCCACCAAACTGCTCCAACTTGCCCACCAAAAAAAGTTGTTTGGGTCTTTTTTGGGGTGGGTTCGGCTTAACCTGTCCTTTGGTGTAAGAGGAAGAGGGTTAGGTGACGAACGCTCAGCAGCAAATCATTCATAGTTCAATTTACACACCTCGTATTTTCCCAGCTGGGGATGAAGTGGGGAGGGGGTGGGTTGAGGGCTTTGCCCACCAAACTGCTCCAACTTGCCCACCAAAAAAAGTTGTTTGGGTCTTTTTCGGGGTGGGTTCGCCTTAACCTGTCCTTTGGTGGAAGAGGGAGAGGGTTAGGTCGGTCCCGAAGATCCCCCTTTTTGCTACCAACTCAGTGGCTTTCGTGGGAAAGGCTGGAAATAGACAGAAAATGTTCCGGCAGAAACTGCTCCAACTTGCCCACCAAAAAAAGTTGTTTGGGTCTTTTTTGGGGTGGGTTCGGCTTAACCTGTCCTTTGGTGTAAGAGGAAGAGGGTTAGGTCGGTCCCGAAGGCCCCCCCTTTTTGCTACCAACTCAATGGCTCTCGTGGGAAACGCTGGAAATAGACAGAAAATGTTCCGGCAGAACCAGAGAAAGGTTGTGCGGTCCTTAAGAGCGAGAGATGTTATGAGCGCGAGGTTATAAGAGTGGGGTGGGTTCGGCTTAACCTGTCCTTTGGTGTAAGAGGAAGAGGGTTAGGTCGGTCCCGAAGGCCCCCCCTTTTTGCTACCAACTCAATGGCTCTCGTGGGAAACGCTGGAAATAGACAGAAAATGTTCCGGCAGAACCAGAGAAAGGTTGTGCGGTCCTTAAGAGCGAGAGATGTTATGAGCGCGAGGTTATAAGAGTGAGAGATGCCTTTTCTTGGACGACTTGGAAATGTCAGATCTTTAAGATTCAGGGTTCAAAACTCCTCGGGGATGGGGGAGTGGGGTCTCAAGCCCCATTCAATGCAACATGATTGGGGTTTTTTTACACCCCGCTCTAGAGGGCCAAAGACTGACAGCTCCTCTGTGATTTCGCCCCTGCCATGCACTCCCATCGCCTGCTTCAAAACACAACTTCTCTGTTTCTCTGTGGGGACAGGATGGGGGGGACCCTAAGATGGAGCAGCCCCTAGCGCCAGTTAGGGTTTATAATTTGGTTCCATTCCTCAGGCAGAAGCAGCCAACTGTAGCCAAATTAATTTGGTCAATAAACGCAGTTATAACAACGGAAAATGTTGTTTCTGCTCTTGTTTCTAGGAGAAAGCGGAGAAACTGGCGCCCCGGGAACAATAGGTGAGTGTGGTTTATGGTTGTTTGTTGGGTTTTGCGACCCTCCAAACCTAGGAGAACGAAGAAGAGCAAAGTTGGTTATCTTAGTCATCCGGGAAGTTTCGGCTGACCCAAGGAAGGGAAGTTGTAATTCTTTAGCCTCTTCTCTTGATGGCTGTCCTGTCCTTTTCCACAGGAGACAAAGAACTGAAGGACATTCAGTGTAAGCAAGGTAAGCCGCTCGGAACTCTGTATAGCCCCGGAAGCCTGCACCCTGCCCAAGGAGACAGAACAGATGGGGGAAATGTATGGCCATATTCAACACATATTCAACCCTCTCAGCTCACCTCCCTCTTGTGGCGCCGTCCCTCTGGAAAACCCTAAAGGGTTGGGCGTTTTCGTAGCCCGGGCCGTCGGTTGCTGACCCCATTTTCCTAGTTCCCTACGAAGTCAGGAAGGTGGAGATTTCCCAGGACTGTTTTCGTTGGTTGGTTTGCATTGGGTTGGAAGAGTGGGGGTCCTTTAGCCTCCTGGGGGCCACCGCCATTTTTTCGTGGGGTTGTGACGGCCACGAGACCAGCCTCCCAGCGCTGAGCCGGTTGCCTTTGACCTCTACCTAGGTGTCAAAAACTGCAAAGAACTTTTGGCACGGGGAGTGACCCTCAGCGGCTGGTACACCATCTACCCCCAGAACTGCGAGCCCCTGACGGTGTTGTGTGACATGCACACGGATGGCGGCGGATGGATCGTAAGCCCCGTTTAAGGGTGGCATGGGTTGGGAATACAGATTTAGATTTTCCACCTAGAAAAAGGAAGAAAATTTCCTTTCTTTTGACTCTTTTAGTTTGGCTTCACTTTCTCCCATTTCGGACACCCTGGACAGCTTATGAAGAGCTAAAAAAAAAGCATCTAGATTTGCATTTTGGTCGGAACGTTGGATTCCTCCGAAGCGCTAAGCGTCTCGTTGGATTCCTCCGAAGCGCTAAGCGTCTCGTTGGATTCCTCTGAAGCGCTAAGCGTCTGGAAGATCTGACCATCCCAAAATACCGGCAGGTCTTTTCAAGAGAAAGATTCAACTACCTTCCCTTTGTAGTTTGAGCGGGACGCTATTCTGATGTACCATCGGAAAATCAGTTCTACCCTTGTAGTGCCAAAGGAACAGAAATGTATGCCTTTTCCACATGCAATTTTTGCAAGGATGACCAACTCCTTAACCCTGTTATGCGAGATTTCCCAGGCAGGAACCTGGATTGGTAACGAAAGTATTTTTAGCTGATGTTTTTTAGTTAAGTCTATTCTGTTTTAAGTTGTTTTTAATACACGAGGTCTGGAACCGCACGATAAAAATTGCCTTGTTGTAAAAAATCATATAGGACTAAAGCCATCATCATTTATATTAAATGGCAACGTGGGCAGCCACCACCCGGCTCCCATTTAAAAGAGGAAGGGACCTGAAAGAAACTTGATTTCTTCATGACAGGTTTTCCAAAGACGGGCTGATGGCTCTGTGGATTTCTACCGAGACTGGAATGCTTACAAGAAAGGATTTGGGAGCCAGCTTGCAGAATTCTGGCTGGGGAATGACAACATCCACCTCTTGACCTCGATGGGTAAATTGCACACATTTTCTCCCCCTTGATTTCTGCTGTTTTCATCACAATAGCCTCAGAATCCTCCATTTCTAGGATGTAAGCCACCCAGCTTCAAATCTCTGCTCCAGCTTTTCCTTGCCTTTTCATCTCTTCTCATACATCCTATCGCTGTTACAATTAAAAAAAAAACAACTCTTTTTTATTTTTATTTCTTTCCCCCCTCACCTTGCTCTGGACAGGAGAGAACGAACTGCGTGTGGATCTCACCGATTTCGACAACACCCACGTCTTTGCCAAGTATACGTCCTTTCGAATTTCAGGAGAAGCAGATCAGTATAGGCTGGGCCTTGGGAGCTTTGCGGGTGGCAGTGCAGGTACGTAGAGGGTTGGACATTTTTCTGTGCCTGGCGGGAGGGTCAAGACCCCTATATGGAGAGCAGGAATATAATGGAGGTGGGGGAAGAAAGACTGCAGGTAGACCAAACCGATCAGAACTCTGAACAGTAGCTGGGTTTTTCCCAAATCAATCTGGGCCGGACTGAAAGGGCTGCTTTGGTGCATAACATCCTAAGTGGATGTTTGGCACAGGCTTTATTGAAGAAATCCAGAGCTTTCCAATGCAATCCTTTTCTCTCCAACTTGCTAGGAATCATACCAGGCATAAAAATCCTGGCTTTGTTGCATGAACTGTTTTGAATTTGAAGCCTGAGATGGGTTGCTTGCATCTTTTTGAGCAATCGGCCAACTGTTTGGGGAAGACAATGGGGTTGACAACCCCAAACGCACACATACTTTTGGTTAGGAGGCCTCAGATGTTGGAAATGCAAGGGGAGGTGTCTCGTGGCGTTGAGCCAGCCTGAGCCAGATGGGGAGCAGGAACTGAGCAAACATTACTTAGACAAAGAGATCTGTCTTCGGTACTTTCGTTGACCTTGAAATCATTTCCTCCCAGGTGACTCCCTCTCGGGCCACAACAGCATGCCTTTCTCGACCAAAGACAAGCAGCAGGATCCCAACAATAGCAAATGCGCGGAGACGTACAAAGGGGCCTGGTGGTACAATAACTGCCACACCTCCAACCTCAATGGGATATACTGGCTGGGGGCACACAGCTCCTTCGCCGATGGCGTGAACTGGCAAACGAGCAAAGGCTATAACTACTCCTATAAGCGTTCGGAAATGAAATTCAGACCCGTGGCTTAATGGAGAAAAGGAGGTCTTCCCCTCCTATGGGTGTGATTCTGTGTGTGGGGGTCTTCTTCCTTGAGAATAGGGTAACTGAGCCTCCCCCCAGGTCTTCACAGCATAAATTTCCGGTGACCCAGTGCCTCCCCCTTGCTTGTTAGGACCAGGCAAGATCGGGGAACGAAGGTCCTCCGGTTGAGTTTGGCCTACAACTCCCATCCATGGTGGGGGATTATGGGTACTGCAGGCCCAACACCAGAGCGCCACAGGTGCCCATCCCACACACAAGGGGGGGCGGGGAGGGTGACAATGTTTTCTTCCTTGCAAACACTACAAACAGCCCACCACACTCATGGGAGAAGTTATACATAATTTTCTTTCCTGCAGATCTTGTGATTTTTATCATTATCATTTTCAACAGAATAAATTAATCACTTTCAAGGAACGGTGGCAGTGAGATGATCGCCCCCCCCCATTTTTTTTCCTTAGGGTTCCCACACACTGTTAGCAGGCGGTGCTATTTACCCAAAGTTGTCCACGAATTACATTTCTGGTTGACCTAGAATTCATTTGAAATGCAAGCTTGGTTAGTCTCTTTATGACAGGCTGGTGATGTTTTTGTCCCTTTGCCCCCCAATTTCTGGCGACCCTATGAACAAATGACCTCATCAGTATAGTATATAGTTATTTCACCCACAATGGTCTTATAGGTACAAATCAAATCAAATCAAATCAATCAATCAATTTAAAATAAAATAAAATAAAATTATATCATAGGATATGACAGATGATAACGATCATTGCAGGTGAACTAAACATGCAAAGAAGCGCCAGCCAGGTGCGCGCTCCTCACCTGCCCACCGGGTCTCCCCAGCCGACCAATCCGGGACAAGCGGCGGGGCGGGGCCTCCGCGGCGGACCTCACCTGGGCAGTTCTCAGTCAGGTCCGACCTCGGGGGTTCTATAGCGCCCGGCGCGCAGCCTTCGGAAGGGGAGAGATGATGGAAGGGGAGAGATGATCGGAAGGCAAGCCCACCCCCCACCCCCGCGGTAGGGCAGAGGAGGCGATGGGCGGCGGCGGAGAGCGCGCCCCACGGAACGCTCCTCTTCGCCCCCGCGAGGTGGAAGCGGAACGCGGGTCCGTCACAATCCGCTGGACTGCAGCGGCCGCTGGAGGCTTTGGCGTCCTCTCTCCCGCTCCTTGAGGGCTCTCCCGTCTCGCCTCGACGCCGGACTGTTTGCCCTGGGAGTGGGGGGGTTGGCTGGCTTAGCCTTGGGGGAGGAGGAAAGGGGTCCCCCCCACCACCGCCGGTGGAAAGGGTGCCTCCCTTGCCCCCCACCTAGCAGGGTGCCAAGGGCTGCTTGGAGAGAAGCTGGCCCGGATCGAACCATCATTGAATACAAGGGCAAAAACTGGACAGGTCGAAAGGGCAGGTTTCGATCTTCAGGACACACAAAGCCATTTTGACCGGCCTGAGTTGTGAGGACATCCAGCCAAGGGGGGTCCTCGAGAGCCCATTATCCCCCTGGAAGTGACAGCGGTTCCAGGATGATGAACGGGGCCCTGCTGAGCATGGTGGTCTCCACCTTAAGCTGCCTCTGTGTCGCCTTTGAGATTCCAGTGAAGCCCTATCTGGACATGAAAAAGGTAAAAAAAAAAGGCCTCTGGATCTCAGGTGGGGCGCCTGACGAGTGGCCGGGCGCCTGACGAGTGGCCGGCATCTGGCTTTTCTGGACAGATGCTGGCCCGCACCGAAGGGATGTGTGTAAAGGGATAAAGGGGAGATGGCTTTAACCACAGCTGGGAAGCCCCCCAAAAAGGCTGTGCTTTGGGGATTTTTGAGATCCGTTTGAGCGACAGCCAGCCCAAAAGGGCAGGGGAAGGTCAGATCCTACACACACACTCGTGCCCGGCTCTTGTGGGAGATGCAGAAGATCCAGCTGAGATCCGACTCCTGCCTTTGTGTGTGTGTGTTTTTTTTTATTTAGCTTGCTGGGAAATGGCACCCCATTCTAAGGGCAAAGTACGACCCTACAGACCAGCCGTTCTATACCTACACCATGAGTCCTCTCAACGACGGGAATGTGATTCTCAAAGTGGAAGTTCCTCGGTAAGTCGGCCTCCTCCATGTCTCCGCTGCAGGATCCTTCCAGGACAGCTCAGGATGCGGACTCTGCCCCCCTCTCCATCCATGGGCAGCAATGCATTCGTGCTTCGTGCACGACCTGTGCTAGAAGAGTGGCTTTCCCCCCCCCCAAAGTGCAAGCAGAACATTGAAATAATGTGGGTGTAACTGGTTTATGCTGGGGCCAGCAAAGTATGGCCAGTGGGCCCCCACGGAGCCCTCTGCACCAACCCAGACCCTTGTAGTTAATCTATCAGGCAGTGCTTTGCACCAGAAAGGTGGCTGATGGTTAGGAGCATACACACGTACCCATATGCATGGGCTCCCAGACCCATCTGTCAGGGTTGGCAAACCTGCTTGGCAAAATCTGTAGCTCTTTCTCCTTTGGGACCCGCTCGCTGGGGGCACCAGAGTTGGCATTACCCGAACTATTGCTCCCCATCATTGTGACACCGGCTCGTAGCGGCTGATGGGAACTGGAATCCAGCAATATCTCTCACGCCAACCTTTCCCCTGGTGCCATTCCAGCCTTTTCCGGCTCTCCGTGGGCATCGTTAGCTTTCGGCCTGGCTTGATGCCGGGACTGTCCTCCAAACGGAGGACTGCACTCTGTAGAAAATGGAGGACTGCTTGCTGTAGAAAAGGGAGCCATAATTGGCTTTTGTTTTCCAGAGTGAGGGCCTGCCGGCTAAATTTCGTGGCTTTGTACGCTATCCAGCCTGGCGTCTTTGAAAATGCAGGTAAACAGCAGACATGTCCTCTCTTTGTTATGATGGGTTGATTGCTCAGGTTTATATTTAAGCCCGGGTTAATATGCATGGTTCTCTATATTTCCACGTTGGCCTCACAATAGCCCTATTTGGTGGACTCGGCTCAAGAGAGTGCGGCCTTCCCCCAATTTACTGAAATTTGTGGCCATGTGTTTCCTTGAACCTTGGTGTCTGCAGCCTTATTCTGATCGTCTAACTGCTACACCCTTCTGCCTCCATGGGGTGGGGGGGAGGTAGGGACAACAAGGATAAAACAAAGGGGAAGGAGAAAAAGTTGCATGGAAAACAACGCAGTGCCAAATTTTTCTCCTGGGACTCAAAGCCGAGCTGGACAAGAGGCCAGCTTTGCAGTTAGAAGGGGATAATACATTTTTTGTCCACAGACCCCCCCCCCCATCCTTTAAAGCAGTTTTTCTAATTTGAAACTGCCAAAGCTGAAGAGCCTCAGGGCAGGAAAAACAAACTAATTTAGCTCTGAAGGGGTCCCGCCTCTAATGACGCCTCTCCTATAACGTCCATTTTAGCCCTGGAATTTGGGGGTGGGGGGGAACCAACTTTTAGTTTACCTGAAAGCCAACGTTTTTGAAACTTCTGGTAACCCAAAGGAACATCTCCTTCTGGATTATATTCGGAGGCAACCCTGCACTCTTCGTTGGTTGAGGGAGGATGGGAGTTGTAGTCACCGGTTTGGAAAAGGCCGACTTAACTGTTCTTTTGTGGTTCTCTTCCAATAGACGGCAAGCTGACGGTACATCTTGTGGACACAGATTATGACAACTATCATATCAGTCATACCGAAAGGGATAACATGGCCTTCATGAATCTCTATGGTGAGTCTCTTCAAGACGGTGATATTGTTGACTGGGCTGTTTCGCTCAGAAGGGTGGCCATACAGAGGAAAGCATTTTTCCTTCATGGAGCTCCCAAATTTTCTTGTTCCCGAGGAGAACATCCGTGGCGCCAACCTGTTACAACAGAGAAAGGCAATTTTCTTGAGCCTTTCGCTCCGATCTGTTTACCTCTTGCCATATTTATCAACACGACATCCTCTTTATTGCCCTTTTAAGGCCGGGAAAAAGAGGTGTCGGAAGAAGTGACCAAAAAGTTTCTGGATATGGCCCAGAAAGTGATGCTCAACCCGATGCTGCTGTTCTATCAACACAAGACTGGTGCGTAGGGTATTAGAACCTGGGTATTTATGGTAGCAAAGGGCTGAGCTCTTGACGTGAAGTAAAGGCCTCTGGGAAACATCATGAGCCAAGAGGAAGAAATAAAAAGGCTAAAGTTTCTTGTTTTGAGGAATCCAGTGAAGGATAGAGCAGGAGGAAGAGCCACCAACTTATTTACCAAAACCCTCTTCTTAACCAAAGAGAGCAGGAACTGCTCACCTTGGAGAAGGTGGAAGGAAGGAAGGCTAAGAGTAGCAGTCTACTTGTCAATCTGTTGTGATTTAGAAAAGGCAAGGGGCCCAATTTCATATCTTGCTCTGACGATATCTTCCTCTGTTTTCTCCCCTTTCCACAGATCTCTGCCTAAGTCCGCCACAGAAAGCATAAGTAAAATTCCTGCAAAGGGAGAGTGGGGGGATGTTAGTGAAATGAACATTTCCCTAAAACCCACTGCCAGTTTTATAACCGGTCGGACATGGTGATAATGTCCTTTTCAGCAGTAATAAAATGTATACCGTTCAGATGTGTGGGTGTCTTTTTGTGAGGGGAATTGAGAGGCTCCAAAGCCCGAAATGTGCATTTCAGATACTGTACATGTTGCTTTGATAACAGCGCAAAGGAAAGATGGCCACGTCGAAGTCTGAATTGTACATCACGAATAGCTCGCCATTGGGAGAGGAAACTGTAGGTGCTGATGGCGTGTGACTGTCACACGGGCCACTTCTTCTCGCCCCCTGTAGTTGGCAAACTCCACTTGCTTTTTTCTGATTGGTGGTAAGGAAGCAATGAGCACTTCCCTCTTTCATAGGTTTGGTTTCGCTCCGTCGGGCCATCTATAAGCTCTGTAAACAAACACATTTCTCCAACACCTGCTCGAACTGAATCGGGTCCGGCGCACTTAACACAACTCCTGCTCCAGTGTGAATGCGTAACGTTTGTCCATGAGTTTCTGTGATACATGAATTCCCTGATCCGAGGCTCCGGAGGTGGAAGATTTAAAATAAATAAGAGTTGGGTGGAGCAGGCGAGAAAGGCTGATCTGGTCTTGATGAAAGGTCAACGATGGAACGAAAGGTCACCGGAGGGAGGATCGCCCACCCAAAGCACGGCCTGAACCCAAATTCCCCCGAAGCTTTTGATCACGGAGCTGCCCGAGTTCATGGAGAACCTCCACCTGCACGCTGTTGGATGAGAATCAAGAACCGCCGATGGCCCAGGGGGTTCTCGGAGAACCAAACTGATGACCTCCCTGCCAACGTCTTGGGGTTGCTTCGGAAGAGGGGGTGGACCGGAGAGGATAAATGTAGATCAGGGAAGGAGTGGGGTTGTGCAGAGTCTGGAAGGACACACACAGAGAGAGATCTCTCTCTGGTGTTTGGGGAGGACTCCCGGGCTGGCCAAAGAGTTTCTGAGATCATGAAGGGGGCCTTGTGGATTCTGCTGCTCTCCGGCGTTTGTTCCCTTCTGGCTGCCGACATCCCGGAAGACCCTACGTTTGATGTCACAAAGGTAATCAGCTAGGACCCCCCCCCAAAATGGGACAGGAAACAGGGGACGCCTGGATCCCTGCTTTTTAATTGACCCGTTTTGCTTTGAGCAGTGGTAGGTTTGGGGTCGGGATGGGTCCAAGCAGCCCCCACTGCTGCCGCCGAGAAAGGTGCAATGAGCCTTCTTGGGAAACAATGAGCCGGCGCCTCCTTTGCCATCATTTCGAGATCTCGTTAGCATCACCACAAGCGCCAGGGGCTCCCCTGGGAGGATGACACTGGGTGGGAAGGTTCCAGAGATCCCAAGGGTGGCCGGACCCTCGTTGGCCCCAGCATAAATGCATTGGTTGGGAAATCAGGGAGGTTCCCGGGAGGTCAGATGTATCCGCAAGCTCATTTTAATTACCTCCTGCTCCCAAACTGCAGCCCTAAATGTTGAGATGGTGCGCATGCCTCAGGTGTCCGCTTCTGGGGGCCACCGTGATGTAGGGACCGCTCCTGGCCTTCCCCCTGATACGTCGCCGCTGGTCTGGCGTCATCTCGAAGAACCGATATGGGTAGCTAGCACCTTCGTTCTGTTTTCGGACTGAAAACCTTTTTTTCCCCTCCCCTCTTTCTTTCCGTTTTCGAATAAAAGGTTGCAGGGAAATGGTATCCCCTTATCACAGCAAATTATTTGCAGCCTTTAGAGAGGAAACCCTTCCATGCCTTCACAGCCACACCTTTAAGCAACGGAGGTCTTGAGCTCAAAGAGGAAATCCCCAGGTAAGCCATTATCCTCGCTCTCGTCCTGTGCCGCCCCCTCCCCAAATAATCAGCCTGTGGGCTCGTTGCGGGGGTGGCTTGGCCACCTCGTGGACGGAGGGACTTTCCCAACTGGGGGCCAGCAGGAAACGGGGCTGGGAGTTGGGCCCTTCTTAAGCCCATCTGTGGACACCTCGGTTCGGTTTTGCCAAAAATTTATCCGGTGAAAGTCTGGCTGTTGGCTGCAGCTATTGGGCACCAACTGGAGGGTCCGGATTTGAGCCGTGTGAAGATTTTTGGCACACGCGCGTGTGCCCCCCCCCAAAGTCGCTCTTTGGGAGTTGGGTTGCTTTAGGCAAAAGCTTTTTCCCATCTGAAAGAGAAAAGAGTGATCAAATTAAAAAAATGACGAAGACGTCGTCTTGGCACACCCTGGTTCCAACGTAGAGATGCAAAATTGCAAGGATGCCTACAGCTTAAATCAAAAAGCACCTACCCTGGTTAGGGGGACGAGGAGTACAAGAGATGGGCATGAACCTCAGTTCGGAAGTTCGTGCCGGTTCGTACGTGTGGCACTGCAGGCGACACATGTTCTCATCCCCGGCCACCCTGGCTGGATTCCCGACTCGGTAGCCAGCTGGGGCTCCTCCTCTTCTGCTGTTCCACCAATCCCCAGCAGGAGCATAGGCTTGCCTGCCCCCCCTCCTTATGTGGGTGGGCATCGGGCAAGGAGGCGGGGCCAGGGAAGCCCCGGCTCCTGCCAGGGAGTTGGAGGAAGGGAAGGCACGAATGTGCGAACTGGCACAAACCTCTGAACTGAGATTCATGGCCATCTCTCTCATGACAACCAGAGGAACGATGTGGCTGCCACTCACGTCGGTGTTCAGGTCTTGGTGGGGGATCTTCAGGGTTCAAGGGGTCAGTGAATTCCCATCAGCCCTGTTCCTGAGCCGGACCGGCTGGGGCAAATAGGACCTGGAGTAGAAGGGCAACTGGGGGGGGCTTCGCTTCCCTCTCCCCGTTTCCATCCAAGGCACTTCACCCCCCCCTTCTGAAGAGTTCCTTGGCCCGAAACAGAAGATGCGCTCAGAACCACAGGCCACGGGGTGGCTGAAATTCAGTGGTCTTCTCTCTTTCCTCCAGAGACGGGGGCTGCGAAGTGAAGAGTTTTGTGTTGCAACCTCAAAAGCCCGGAGTTTTGCAAAGCGAAGGTAAGTCAGCAGAGGACATGCCGTCCTTTTCCAAGATGGGGGTCCAGCCTCCAGCTGGTCAGCTGAAAATGCCCCGCGATCAAGGATCGGTGTGTGCCCGGGCTAGGAGCACCGGTCCGTCCTGCCTGGGGGGCACCAGGTTGCCGGACGCCTGACCTTTTGATGTTTTGTTTCCACAGATGGCAAATTCACCATAATGGTTATTAAAACCGACAACAACCATAATATGGTTACCCACTCTGAAATAGGGGACTTGGTCCTTCTGCAGCTGTTTGGTATGTGCTCCCGATCGCCTCTCGGGTGTTCTAGAGGGAGAAGAAACCTGCATCGTTTTGCAGCGATTGTTCCGGGCAGCTGGGGGGTGGAAAATCACATTTTCTTCCTATCCAGTATCACCTTCCAGAGGAGAACACAGAAGATGTGTTTATGAAAAAAACAGTATTTCCATCTCAGAGGTGATTCGGTTCACCAGCAATAATGCCCTATACAGCGGTGCCTCGCTAGACGATGATGATCTGTTCCACTGAAATCGCTGTTTAGAGAAATCATTGTCTAGCGAAAAGCAAATCGTCGTCTAGCGAAAATCATTTTGCGAATCAGGGAACAAACATTGTCCAGCGAAATTCCCCCATCGAAATCCCTGTTTTGCGAATCACAATAGCGATCGCAAAAAGTCAATGTCTAGCGAAAAAACTGTCATGCGGGGGTAACTGTCTAGCGAGGCACCACTGTACATGTTTCACTCATCTTGTGGTGCAACGGGTGCTGTAGATGTGATCTAAACCTCGGACATCTCCACGTGGCCCTGACCAACAGCCTGGACCCAGGGGCCAGACCATGGCGAGGGAGGGGGGAGAAGGAGGCTTAGCCTGCCAAAAAGGAGCCAAAATGCCCCCCAGACGCTCACCCACATCGTAGTGTAATGCTTTGTCTCTTTGTGTCTTTCCAGCCAAAGGAAAGAAGATGCAGGATGGATGGGAGGGCCATTATTCTGATATTCAAAAGGAACTGGGATTCAGCCCGAAGAAGTTACACTATCTACTTGAATCTGGTGAGACCCATGGATCCTTAGGGGTGGACTTTGGGGCAAGAGGGCATCAGATTTTTCAAAGCTGTCAACGCGAGGCCATGCGTGGAACGGTGATGGGCAGTGGCCACCCGTGGCCACAGTGACTAGCTAGCCTGTCTCAGGCTAAGAGGCCTTGTGGCCCTTTCCAAAGCGCTGGGGGCAAACGTGGATGGACCCATTCCCCCTGCTTCGTTTCGAAAGCTCTGGCACAGTTTGATTGCTGGGTCAGGATTTCCACTCCGTGAATATAAGGAGGTCTATATGTTTGTGTGCCAGCCAGCTACACTGCTGCTAAGGGCAGAGGAGCGGGAATTTTAAAAAAAGTTGGCAACCTTCTGCAGGATCTGGAAAGATTGTCTTTATTTTTTTTTCCCTCCACAGATCTCTGCACAACCCCGCCGAAGTAGGCTTAGGGTGATGATCGTGAACGCAGGGATTGGGGGTGTTGGGTTTTTTTCTGGGGAGCTCAACCTGAAAACCCCCCTAGCCAGTGGGAAACATCACACTTAGACAAAAAGTCACAACCCATCAGAAACAAAACAGCTGTAACTGAAGGCACGCCGACCGGAAAGGGAGAACGCTTGCTGGAACGAGATCTCGCAAGGCCAGCCTCCGATTTTCCCATTTGGAAAAAAGAAGACCTAACGTTGCACAGAGAAAGCCGGGACTGCCTGAAATCTTTATATTGCCTCCCAAAATGATTTCCCACCAGTTTTCCCCCCCACAATCCCCTGAAAATAAAAAGACCATCACAACACACACACCCCGGCTGCTTTACTGTGTGGATGTTTGAGAAAAACCAGCAAGAGATAGGCCATTATTGACAAGCCAACCTCTGTGTGTGTGTATGTGTGTGTTTGTGTTTGTGTGTGTGTGTGTGTGTGTCTACCTGCTTACCTTTCCAAATGTGGGAAGCACATCTCGCCAGATGTTCTCACTTTCCTATCGGAAGGAAAATACAGTGGTGCCCCGCGTGACGATGATAATCCATTCTGTGAAAATCGCTGTTTAGCGAAATCATCGTCGTGTGAAAACCATTTCCCTATTGGAATGCATTGAAACCCATTTAATGCGTTCCAATGGGAAAAATGCCTTGTCGGTTTGTGAAGATCGCCCATAGGGCAGCCATTTTGCGAGCACTGATCAGCTGTAAAAATCGTCGGCTTGCGAAGCACAGGTCCCGAAAACATAGGGAAGCCATTTTGCGAAGCCGCTAATCAGCTGTAAAAATTGTCGGCTTGCAAAGAATTTTTCCGCGATGCACAGACCAAATCATCGTCCAGCAAAAATTGCAGATTGGAATGACTGTTTTGCGAATCGCTATAGTGATCGCAAAAAGTCATCATTATGCGGATTCATCGTTTAGCGGGGTCATCGTCTTGCGAGGTACCACTGTATTTCCTGCTGGAGGCTGTGGGACGAACGGCTGGAAATGTTATAGACTTCTAATCATGCGTGCTCAGAGGGGGCATCCTTGCGGATCATTGCCTCCTTCCTCTTCCTTCCTCTATCCATCCGCCCCCTTGTGTGTGTGTTGACCCCGTTTCATCCCTCCGCCCGGGCTCTCAACACCCTTAAATACTCTCGCAAGGAAGCAGGGCGTGAGAAGTGCTTTGGGGCTTTCAGCGCTCGTACAAAGAGCTACCTGGGGCCGGCACAGGCCTTTTTTGGACCACAAATTTTGAATTTCCAGTCTAGAAAACTCTTTTTCCATTCTCTGGCCTGGTTTCTCCCTGGGCGAGTCGAAGCCCTCTTTCTTTCCATGAAACTCTTTCCACTTCTGTTGCAGCGGTCCGGTAGATCTGTACAGACTTTTTTTTTACTTATTGGATTACAGATCCCATTATCCCCCATTCTGGGAGTTCAGCCTGGCTTACAGACACCTCGCTGTGGCTCGCCTGGGAGGAAAGGCCTCGCTTACAAGGTTTTGAGGTTTAGCTAGGTCTCGCTCCTCTCCAGCTTCCTGTTCCTGCCCCAAGACCTGCTGGGAGCTTTCTTTCTAAACAAGAATGATGGGATTTGCAGTCCAAGGAATCAAAAAACATCCCATCCCTAGAGAACTTGCCCTACAAGGACTTTATATTGGCCTATGAAGAAAGGCTACAGCATTTGGGGCTCTTTAGTTTAGAGAAAAGCTATTTTTTGGGGGGGAGGACATGATTGAGACATGCAAAACTTTTCATATGTTTTCACAGTCTCCTTAATGTTTTGGAAAGAACAGGATTCTGTCTTTTCCAAACCATTTTGTGGTGTAAATATGCATATTGACAATATTCGTTTTTCCACCACCCTCCGTTTCAACCCAGAGAATTTTGAAAGGATGATTTTACCTGGCGGTAGTAAAAACCTGGTAGTGGATAGAGGAGGAGACGGGCCACTCAGGAGCCACAGGTTTGAATCCCTGGCTCTCCCACGGAAGCTCATTGGGGGTGTGGAATGGGTAAAACCCCTCAAGAAATACCCACCGACCCTGGTCACTCTCGGTCACTATTGGTCAGTTACCTACGACTTCGTGTCTACTCTTTCCCACCGGAGAGCCTCGTTTTTTTGCACCACGGCAAAAGCGCGCAGAAGGACCCATGATGTTTGTATTATAATCTGTAATCACAGATGGCGCCTATAACTGGACCGTGGTTTCGGCAGGATCCTACCTAAAAATCATGTGGATTCATCTCCCAGATCCACGTTTCTACTCCACTGCTAAGTCGTGCACCGAAGGACGTGTTATTTCTGTGTTGGAATCTGTGCGCAACAAATGGGATCAATTGTTTGATGGTGGTTTAGAAAGGATCCTGTCTGAAAATCGTGTGCAATCATGCGCGCCTGTGACATGGATCCACGTTTTTTGCGCCACTGCAAGACGTGCGCCAAAGGATCCATGATTTCCGTGGTGCTGTTGGTGGGCATAGAGGAGACATATGATTAGAGGGTGCCAAGGATCCCACATAAACATTGCGCATATAGAATCCACTTTTTACCCTTAGCCACAGGAAAGCAGTCGGGGTGGTGTTGTGATGGTCTTTTTATTTTCAGGGGATTGCGGGCGGGGTGTGGGGGGGAACTGGTGGGAAATCATTTTGAGAGGCAATATAAAGATTTCAGGCAGCCTCGGCTCTTTCTGTGCAACCTTAGGTCTTCTTTTTTCCAAATGGGAAAATCGGAGGCTGGCCTTGCGAGATCTCGTTCCAGCAAGCGTTCTCCCTTTCCGGTCGGCGTGCCTTCAGTTACAGCTGTTTTGTTTCCGATGGGTTGCGACTTTCTAAGTGTGATGTTTTCCACTGGCTGGGGGGGGGGTTAGTTTGAGCTCCCCAGAAAAAACCCAACACCCCCAATCCCTGTGTTCACGATCATCACCCTAAGCCTACTTCGGCGGGGTTGTGCAGAGATCTGTGGAGGGGAAAAAAAATAAAGACAATCTTTTCAGATCCTGCAGAAGGTTGCCAACTTTTTTAAAATTCCCGCTTCTCTGCCCTTAGCAGCAGTGTAGCTGGTTGGCACGCAAACATTTAGAAAAAAAACAAAGTGGAAGGAAAAAGTTAGACCCCCCCCCTTATTTTCACAGAGTGGAAATTCTGACCCAGCAATCAAAATGCCAGAGCTTTCGAAACGAAGCAGGGGGAATGGGTCCATCCACGTTTGCCCCCAGCGCTTTGGAAAGGGCCACAAGGCCTCTTAGCCTGAGACAGGCTAGCTAGTCACTGTGGCCACGGGTGGCCTCTGCCCATCACCGTTCCACGCATGGCCTCGCGTTGACAGCTTTGAAAAATCTGATGCCCTCTTGCCCCAAAGTCCACCCCTAAGGATCCATGGGTCTCACCAGATTCAAGTAGACGGTGGTACTTCTCCGGGCTGAATTCCAGTTCCTCGCGAAGTTTAAAAAAATTGACATACCATCCATCCTGCATCTTCTTTCCTTTGGCTGGAAAGACACAAAGAGACAAAGCATTACACTACGATGTGGGTGGGCGTCTTGGGGGCATTTTGGCTCCTTTTTGGCAGGCTAAGCCTCCTCCCCCCTCCCTCGCCGTGGTCTGGCCCCTGGGTCCAGGCTGTTGGTCAGGGCCACGTGGAGGTGTCCGAGGTTTAGATCACATCTACAGCACCCGTTGCACCACAAGATGAGTGAAACATGTACAGTGGTGCCTCGCTAGACAGTTACCCCCGCATGACAGTTTTTTCGCTAGACATTGACTTTTTGC